GGGCATGACAAACATCTAAGTTTCTTATCCTTCCTATTATCTTAGCATCATCAGCAAACATGTTCATATAATTCTGTATACCAACTGGTAGATCATTTATGTAGACAATAAACATCACTGGTGCAAGAACTGAACCCTGTGGTACTCCACTTGTGACATTTCTCCATTCTGATACATTGCCTCTGATTACTGCCCTCATTTTTCTATCAGTCAGAAAATTTTTCATCCATGTTAGAAGCGTACCTGTCACTCCTCCAATATTTTCCAGTTTCCAGAACAACCTCTTATGTGGAACTCTGTCGAAAGCCTTTTTTAGGTCCAGATAGATGCAGTCAACCCAACCATCTCTTTCCTGTAATATCTCTGTGGCTCGATCATAGAAACTGAGTAAATTCGATACACAGGATCTTCCAGATCGAAAACCATACTGTCTGTCTGATATTATATCATTTCTCTCTAGGTGTTCTACCCATTTAGTTTTGATTAGTTTTTCCAATACTTTCACTATTACACTTGTCAATGATACAGGTCTATAATTGAGGGGGTCTTCCCTGCTGCCACTTTTGTAGATTGGAACTATGTTAGCCTGTTTCCGCCCGTCTGCTACGATTCCTGTACACAGGGATGCCTGAAAGATCAGGTGAAGTGGAATGCTGAGCTCAGATGCACATTCTCTCAGAACCCATGGTGAAACGCCATCTGGGCGTATGTATATGTATGTATATAAAGTATATATGGAAGCTGATCAGAATTACATTTCACCTTTGTAAATGCACATTAATGACACTATGTAAAAGACACTTCGAACACTTTATGTAGGGCATACGTAAATCTGTGTATCTATGTATTTACGTATGTAGGTTAGCTTAGCATTTTAAAAGCACCGAATCACCTTCTGTGGTTAATTGTTCAATAAACCCTTGAACTATATGTTTAACACATCTCTAACCCTGTCCATGGAGGACAGAAGAAAATTTATATATGCTGTTTAGCATTGTAAATGTGTGGCCACGTCTGTGGTAGAAAATAATAATAATAAAAAAAATGCTTCCTTGTCTCTTCCTCCGGCTGTTCTCTTGCACCTGCGGTCCCGCCTTCACCCATTTCTGAGGGGTTCCCGGATCATGAGGCGGTTGCTCGAGAGTTTGTGCTCGAGAGATGGTCTACCCGCTGGGTCGGGTGTGGCTTCGTCGGCTGTTCTGGTTTTGGGGTGCTTACCTTTCTGGGTGCCTGATCCGGTCGATGGCAGATATAGAATGCTTCCAACCTCACTGGGGTTTCTATAGGCCATTGCTTCCCTTGCCTCTCTGAGGGTTCCCAGTTCTGGCCGTGGTCCCCGGTAAGCCTAAGAACTCCATACACATGACTGATGCCAAAGTCTGACATTAGCATATCAGCCTGGGATAGCTCCGGGGAGTCTCCGGGACTCACCCAGAAAATGGCGTTTCATTACATTCAACGTTGTTTTTTTTTATTTATTTTTGTTTTGTTTTGTCGGGTGTGTTGAATGAGGCCTCCAAGTCTGGCCTTTTCCCAGCTGCTGCCTCAATACACCCCGTACTAAACTCGAGAATATTTTACCATTTCAGTTGCTTCTAACACTGCTTTATTATATTATGTAGTCAAAATGAAGAATTCACAAAAAATGGTGGTGTCAGTGGTTGGGGATGGTGTCAGTGGTGGGGAATGGAGTCAGAGAAGTGACTGATGATGAGCTGGCAGATTATTATCGACACCTAAAGGGCATGAAAGATATTATAATGAAACAGCGCACAACGAAGAAACAAACTAAAATTCAAAAGTATTTGGTATGATTTCACAGTAGGCCTACAGGACCAGCATCCAGCACTAGCAAGAACTCCCTTCGTGTGTCGGGTGCAATTTTTCCTAATGGAAATGTGTCCTGGCATATGTATAAAAAATAAAAATTGAAGAAGGTTGTTGGGGCCGAATGGATGGAACGAATTCTGCACTGGAACGAATCGCTTTGCCCCACGTAGTTCGTTCAAGTGAGGACACACTGTATTTTCCTCGATGATGCTATATTTGCATCACTAAATGTTAAAATGTTTGATATCATTATTCCCAGGTCCTTTCCATGTTTCCCTACTATGAGGAGATGTGATTGTGTCTTGTATCCTTTACAGTATTTCATTTAGGTTCTTAATTTTCTGAGATGAGTCCCTTGTTGCTTCCTGAAGCTGCTATATGTTGAGATGGTACCATCTACTAGGTTGCATCAACCATGGAGTTCTATAGGCCTACTGGGGACCAGTGCCAGAACCTGGCCCACTCACAGAGGCACATGGAGCGGTGACATTTATTTTTGCCGCCTCATCGAGGAAGGCAACCAGAAAGTTAACGAGTCAAAACAAAATCACTGCTGGTTTGAAAAGAGGCCAAAGCTTTGAATCCCACCTAAAACTTTGTAAACAGATGATCGAATTCTCTCGAAGCTAGCGTGAACTCGTTTGCCCCTGCCCTACCTGTTTGGGGAAGGGTGGGGGGTGGGGGGGGGGGGGGGAATAGCTCACCACCAGCTTGGGTCCCAGCTCTCAGTTCTACAGCTGATGTAGCCAGTACCAGGTCACCTCTCCTCCATGCTGGCTCGGAACGCTCGTTTTACATAACTCCTGCGAGACCCGGATTATGTCATATTGAAGGACCCTTCCTCTCTTGAGTTTGGGTCATCGTCTTCTTCCTAGATGCTTTACAGGGCTCTGATGACTTCCTGGTTGGCAGACAATCCCTTGTTCTCACTTTCTCACTTGTTGCTTTGCACATTTTCTGTGGGGAGCCCTGTTGGCTCCCTGAAGCAATGAAACTGACATGTGCCATATTTAATAAGTATTTATATAATAATTAGCTATCAGTTTTCATATTGTCTTTTCATTAAATACATATTTAATATGATTTGCTGACACACAAAGCATATATTGCCGACATGATGGGTTCCGTCCGGGATTGCCGACGAAGGTACTGTATTTTGAGTTCCCAGTTATGAAAGGTTGTGTATTCAAGAAAAACTTGACTCATGTACAGCTTGCATAAAGCTATGAGTAGTCAGGAGGTATTGTAGCATGAGGCTACAAGAGGGTTCTAGGAAGATTGGCATTCGTAAATGGTTTCCTGAATCGTGATGTAAGCACTACAACAGTGATAAGAAGGAAAAGTTTAGTAAGTACAGTATCCACTCAGTTTAATGGTCTCTTTTATACCGATCTGCTGGTATTAACGACCGGTTTGGGAGACCGGTATCTGGAGCCTGCTATACCGGTCTGGCGGTCGATATTACCGACGGTCGGTATTGGGTTTGTTGTGGCATCAGCGTCCCCTCACATGGCGACCAGGCCGCCACCGACCTGGATCGTCCAGATTCATATATTACATCTTAATTTTCTTTTAAAATGATTCACTTTAATGAAGAAAATTGTAAATTATTATTAATAAAATATTTTGAAACAGTTTTTATTAAGCAAAAGTCTTTGTTTTCTTATTAAATACCTTTTATAGTATAGGCACTAGGTATTTTTTTTCCCACGGACCTTGAATGTACTCCGCTGGGCCATGTGTTCCCATTGTTTACTGTGAACTCGCGCAGCTAGCTTCAATTGTGAAGGATATTACTGTACTGTAATTGTGATCTTCTTTTTAATTTACAAAATGCCAAAAGTTACCCAAAGGAAGCACCTGACGGTTGCACAGAAGCTGGAGTTAATTAAGAAACTTGATAAAGGATATTCTCATGCACGAGCAGCAGCAGAGTTTAACATCGGGAAAAGTACAGTAAGTGACATCAAGAAACAGAAGGATACTTTATTAAAATATGCCTGAAAATAAGTGTACATACAGTATGTACCCTGTATACAATATAAACAATATAAAACAAGCGCTGCAGAGGATGATGTAATCTTCACAGCTTCGTAATCTTCAGCTTCATTAAAAGTAAGTCAATTTACCAATTATATTATAGTATTACAAGATATTAATTGTTTTTTTTCAACAAAAGCTACATATTAGTCTCTGCAAATGTATATTCTATCGTCAGCAGAGAATAGGTGAGCTCAAAATATTTCGTCTTGGCTAGCTCTCAGTGACAAGGCTCGATCGCCATTGTTATGGCATGGCCGCCACAGCATGTGTTGTAACATTAAAAATACATTACCTGCACTGTTCAGGGTAAATCAAAACACATCTCTAAAATATTATTGAGAAAATATTAACTTGCTGATTGATACATGAAATATTTTGCAATACAAAGGAATGAATCAATTTTTTCCCACCCATCTGGGCTTGATCAGACCGTGTTCACACATCATCCATGCAGCAGCCAACAACTGGCTTAATCGTCGGTGTGGCACTAAATTGGAATGCAATTACACAATGAATTTTATTTAATTTTAGTTATACAGTATAAAATATATCCTACCTGAATGTTACTTGAAAAATTACCCGACCCGACTTAACTTCGGAAATAACGGAGCTCCGGAAATAACGACTAGGGTACAGCCCCATATAGGCCGTTAAATTGAGTGGATACTGTACATGCCTAACTGCTTTGTGAATTCAGCCCTTGTTAAGGTAAGTCGAGCCTGGCCTGGCCTCAGGCCGGGCTTGGGGGAGAAGAACTCCCAGAACCCTTACCAAGTTTGCTCCTCTCCAGGTAAGTAATAAACCTGTATATGCTTGTAGTACCTTCCAAAATAATCAAATAATAATTTTGCCTGGGGTTTATCAGCTGCCAGTGTACTGAACGAAATCCCTGATTCAGTGAGTCAGCTTTGTCCCATACATTGTATTTGAGTGAGTCTTTATTGCACTCAAAAAGTTATAATATACAGTACAACCATAGATAGATTTAAAAATTAAATAAAGATTTTAATAATCAAAGTATGGTGCTTGCAACTCGCTCATACTCAATTCACTTTGGGAGATAATGGTGGATGTCAGTCCCAGGAATGTGCAAGTGCTAACCCTATCTTTCTTTTGTCCTCTTAAAGATTGGTCAAATGGCATTTAAAGGATGCAAGACTCTGAATCGTATCCAGACTGTAGTATATCCAGTTGCCTACCACAGCAACGACAACCTTCTCATCTGTGCCCCAACAGGTGCTGGCAAAACCAACATAGCCATGCTCACTGTGGTGCATCAGATCAAACAGCACCTTGAAAATGATGTCATTCAGAAAGATAAATTTAAGGTAAGTGTTTATTTTGTTAATTTTAATTATAAGCTCTGTGTAAAGCATAGCACGTGAAAATGTAGCTTAACCACTGAACTGCGCCAACCGAGAAAACTGTCTTTGATTTTTTCGTACCCATTCAAAATGTTTGCGGGGTTGGTTGTGTATGAAATGGACTCTTAGGACCTCCAGTGAGAGGCAGCCATCTTGAAAAAAATTCCCAGAATGCCCTAGGGCTGCTGGCTGGGTTAATACAGAGCAACCATGGGTGGGGCACACACCTCTGGTTCCCAAACACTGTTCAATGCGGCGTTGAAAGATCGCGCGCTGTTGGTGAAATTTAAGCCTTATTGTTTGAAGAACATAAGGGTCAGGATATTTGTGAAGCTAGGTGCAAATAAGGACCTAACACAAAGGTCGGATGCAAGTGATATAGCACCCATGAGGATGATACAGGAGCGTATCCAGTTGTAGCTCTGAGCGTCACCCTTGCCCACCTATGCCATCTCCAATTTATATAGATGATACATAGATGAATCATTTTCTGCGTTCAATGATGATGCATCTGGTACAAGTAGCATAGATGAACAGTGTTAGTGGCTTCCATGATGGTGTTTTCCATACATATTTTCACCAATAGCTGAATCTCTTCCAGACTGCCTGAATCTCTTTTAGATTGACACAAGAAAAAGAGATGATATGATCACTATATACAAAATAGTAACAGGAATTGATAAAATCGCTAGGGAAGAATTCCTGAGACCTGGAACTTTAAGAACAAGAGGTCATAGTTTTAAACTAGCTAAACACAGATGCCGAAGAAAGACAAGAAAGTTCACTTTCGCAAACAGAGTGGTAGACGGTTGGAACAAGTTAGGTGAGAAGGTGGTGGAGGCCAAGACCGTCAGTAGTTTCAAAGTGTTATATGACAAAGAGTGCTGGGAAGACGGGACACCACGAGCGTAGCTCTCATTCTGTAACTACACTTAGGTAATTACACTTAGGTAATTACACTCGTTGAGGCTGGCTGAATCTCTTCCAGACTTCCTGAATCTCTTCCAGATTGATGGACACTCTTTGAAGGTAGCTGAATCTCTTTCTGTGTGGGACCTTACAAAGCGATCTTTTCAAGACTACCTTACAAAGTGATCTTTTCCAATAATCTTTTCAAGACTACCTTACAAAGTGATCTTTTCCAATAATCTTTTCAAGACTACCTTACAAAGTGATCTTTTCCAATAATCTTTTCAATACTACCTTATACTTTACAAGCTTGGCTACATACAACCTACAAGTACTAAAGCCAAGAGTGTACATGAGTGCTTTATTTGCAAGCACACAGAACACAGAAACAGTAAGCGAAAATCTATCTGTACCTGGTGCAATGAGAGCGAAGTCTACCTATCGTACGTTACGGCTCGTGATCCTACAGCAGCCAAACTTTAATAAGTCTAGGGATACGACACAACTGCTGTTCTCAATAGCGAATCACCAGTATAACCCCTTAATGGGTAATGAGCATAAAATAGAATGTTCATAGGACTGAAGAATAAAGATACTAAGTATAGATATATACTATTATATTAAATAAATCTCAAAAGCAAACAGATGATTATATGGTCACAATATATATCACATTAAAAATATCACTGTAACTTCCAGACATTAAATCAATATTAAGAATAATTATATGGCTAGAACAAAAGAATGACTTAACTCCAAGATGATATCTCCCTGGTTTCTGCTCAGCTACTGAACTACAATATGCGAGTCAAAAAACAGATTGCCTTGCCCCGCGAATAAATTGCCAAAGTTACAATATTTAATATTTCAACAATGGAGCAATACATTGTGACAAGAGTAATCTTAAACTAACTTAATGAATAATTAGTACATATTGATATAGACAACAAAGCAATTGTTTCTTTACATAGTAATTAAAATATGCATACAGAAAGAAATAATGGCATGCACACCCCAGCAACGGACGATCCCACGACAATTTGCCAGATACAGTTCACTCAATTATTATTTCACTCTGTTACCCACTTATGATCACATATAAATCATTAGTTCCCGTGGGAAAACTGATCACACAAAGAAATAAACAATCATTCCCACGATACGCTGGGCCTAACGCCAACACTGTAACATGAATGTGCATTTGCATAGAACATATAAGTATAACAATATACATGCTTGTAATTTACATACAATTATAAATGTACATATTAATATATTCACTTACGTATCTTATAAGGGTACGTAACAAAGTCACACTATGTACTATGGACTACTTAGTTGATTATCACTCACTTCCGAAGTACTGAGTGTGTAATACAGTGTTACTGTGTAAATAGTGTGTGAAACTGTACATATTGTAATTTTAGTTAATTTTTAATAAGTAATATTGTGACAATAAACATTTATTGTGGACACATTACTGACACATGTATCACAGTTTCATGGAAAATTATGAACATTCTACTGTATACATATTGTAAAGAACACAAATATGCATCATATACGAAAAAAATCAAATAAAACTGCATTGGAAATACATAGAACAAATAATTGAAAATATATTTGTGGTAACACCCGGTGCTTGAATGGCCTGCGCGACCGTGTCTGAGCGAATCACACACGGGCGACCAGCCCCTGATGACGTCACAGTGCACCTTGTCCACGTCCCCACAGCCAAAGTAAGTGGAATTTGATATTTATTTTTACATAGACATGTTCAGGGAAGGGAATTTATCATTTTACGAAGAAAAAAAGAATTTTTTGGGAACACTTGATTTCATACGCATAGGTGCATAGAATTTCAAAGCGTTATATGACAGAGTGCTGGGAAGACGAGACACCACGAGCATAGCTCTCATCCTGTAACTACACTTAGGTAATTACACTTAGGTAATTACAATAAACTCGGTGCATCACAGTGGTTAAACATAACATGCAAACATGTTTAGACAATGATGATAAATATATCTACATGTGGACTCTTGTAAGTTTACATTCATGATGCAAAATATCATTTTATTCAGGTTGTATATATTGCTCCTATGAAAGCATTAGCAGCCGAGATGGCCCGTAACTTTGGCAAGCGACTAGAGCCCCTTGGATTAACAGTGCGGGAGTTAACAGGAGATATGCACCTCACCAAGCCAGAAATTATGGCTACTAACATGATCATCACCACACCTGAGAAGTGGGATGTCACAACACGTAAACCAGGTAAGACGACCTTCATTTTAATTTTTGTAAATGTTCTAGTTATACCACCATATTCATAAGAGGTGGATATAACACCATATATTGTTATATCCATATCTAAAAGATTCCCCTGGTAACTGTGCATGAAGATCAACCATGGATATGGTGCTTACCCAGTTGGTGTGATTCTGGATCCTAAGCAATTAGCCCTTGTGTTGCTGAGGGCTATTTGGCCATTGTCACCCACAGGCGAATAACCAAAAAAAAAAAAAAAACCTAAACCTGTTAATTTGTGTTCCCTGATCACGGAGAAAATGATAAAAAAATTTTTAAGTGGCATATTTTGCCTGCTATAGGGCGGGGAAGTCTGGCAAAAAAAAGAGGCGCTTACTCAGCGTGCGTCCGAGGCGGTCTGCTCAGCCCCAGCTGTCAAGCAGGAGTGGCCACAAAGAGATAATTACCTAATTATTTTAATGTCCGATTGATTTTTCTTCATTATTTTTTTTTTTTGCTATAATATTATTCAATAGTGTGTAGTGTGATATATTTATATAATAAAATGTGTGAATCATCACTGTACTCAAAATTATGGTGAGCATATTATTGATCACTTAATAATAGCATGTACATATATATATATTATGGCATTTTTAGGCGATGCTGTGGTCACAAGCTGAACAAGCTAAGCAGAGCTGTGAACTCATGCTATGTGCGCCAGCCTTGGTGGCTCACTTAGTACTGAGGACCTCACACCCGGGAATGTGGCCCACGATTTAAAAAAAAATGGTGTCTGTTTTCAAGAGCCGTGATGAAGGTGAGGTGAACCCCGTGTATCTGCGGGCTGTTTAAATCTTGCTTAGTACTCCAACACATCATATGCCGTGATGCACAATTTATAGCAAGTTACTCAACACATCATATGACGTGTTGCGCAGTTTAAGGGTTAATGAAGGTTTTGGTTAACTCATTCTCATTCATTGACATAGTTGGGATAGATCTGGGTCTCCAGGTCGGCTTCTTCTGTGGTCGGCCTTGCTGCTGCTATGGGACCATCATCTGTTAGGCTCTCTCTGCCCCTTGAGGATCTTCTTGGTCACCTGAACTTTGCCTGCTTTGTCTTTCCATTGGTTCAGGTTTAGCTGAAGGCATTGCTCTGCCTTCTTTGAGAATCAGCATTTTGCTAGTATTTGGTCAGTGTGGTGTCAGCTGGTTCTCTTGCTATTACCCCACTGGCCCTTCCCATAAAAAACCCAGCGTTGAATGTAATGCAATGCCAATTTCTGGGTGAGCCCAGGAGGCTCAAGGAGGCTCAAGGGGTTTTCCCCAGAAATGCAGTGGCTAGCCAAACCAAATTGTCAAAACTAGCCAACCCACCTAACCTACCAGAGCTTATACTCATTCCCAGGAAGCATCCGTATTATGTGTTTTTAATTTCCTCAACCCACCGCAAATTTTACGGGTGTTATGATATCCTAAAAAAAATTTGCATTCAATAAGAGAAAGTGGTGGTGCAGCCTCCTTTGGCCTTATAAAGGTGTAAAAGAGTAGAACTCCCAAAACACTCTCCAGGTACCCTCCAGATATTGCCTTTTCTGAATCTTGTTGTGTGGCATCCTATCCCTTACTAGTCATTTTCATTGGATCTCATCTGGGTGATTTCTCCAACTCTCGCCAAACTGGAAAGAATTGTGGTTATCTTGCCTATTGGCCAAGATTATTTTAAACTTGGACTGCTGATGTGTGTGTGCAGTTGAGCCGGGCAGGAATGCCAACTGCTCGCAACAGCTATCGACACTGTAAAATGCCTAAAGCAACAGCACAAAATCTTAAGGAGATCTTATCAGATATAGGTCATGTCTGAACTCTATCTGATGATGAAGGGAATTCAGAGATTGGTAACATCAAAATTTATATGATGTGGTGTGGGACAGATATAGGCAGAGGATCCTTTTGGGGTACTGGTTTGGCAAATTTGCAAATACGAGAGAGAAAGGATTTCCTGGAACCCTATGTGCTTAACATACGAATGTATTCACTAAATTAGAACACACAAAATATATACATATATATATACGTGGAAATTGGGGATACAGTGGCACCTCGGTTTTCGAATTTAATCCATTCCCAGAGACAGCTCGTAAACCGAAAATTCGCAAACTGAAACAAATTTTCCTTATAAGAAATAATGTAAATTGAATTAATCCATTACACACTCCCAAAAATATTAACTTCAAAATACATTTCATACATAATACCACACAAATATTTTGTAATATAGAATGTACAAGTTATAGCTTACATTTATTGATAACACTTGTTGGTGTATGGAAGATGGTGAGGAGGGGAGGAGATGTGTTAGTGCACACAGAGATCACACTAACGTGATGCACAAATGAACAAATCCACAAGGGTTTTGATTAAGTCGATTAAGGCAGTGTCTGGGATGCTCCCGGACGCAGGTTCGAATCTTCGTCACGGCTCTTGTGGATTTGCTCATTTGTGTATCACGTTAGTGTGATCTCTGTGTGTAATGATGTAAGGGCAAAGAGGGAGAACAGGCTATTGACATAGCTCGAGTGCAGGGGGGAGTTGTGTAAAATCCTGGTTTGTGCCTCGGAGAGGCTACGCGATCCAATAAGTTCAGTAGAACTTTGGTTTCAACTTTTTTTAACCCTGTCGTTAACCCTCAAACCGCGCATATCATATATATATGATATCAGTGACAAAACCGAAACCGCGCACATCATTTATATATGATTTCGTGTCTAGCGCTATAATTTAAACGCCCCGCCTGGGATAGGGGTAGTCATCGGCGAGCCTCGACCAAACATAAACAAACCTCGCCTGGGAAAAAATCCAGCGTGGGTCCCCTTTGTGTACAGAGCTCAGTTACCCGGCGGACACCATGGCGAGCGCATCACGTTCCGACGACCAACCCCGCTCAGTGAGACGTTCCTCGCGACCTCTGAGCGAGGACGAAATTACTCGTAATTTGTTCCCGGATGGTGATGAGTCTGATATAGACGACTCAGACTTTGATCATGACTATGCACAGCCCTCAGAGGTGGATACGACCGACGACGAGTGTGAACATGCTGGCTCCACCAGGGCTAGGCCTAGCATCTCGCCCATGCCTCCTCGCCCTCACTCCACCCCAATTTCAGCAAGACCACACAGTTCATGTGCTCCCTTGCAAGATATTGATGTTTTGCTCGACGATTCTGAAGAAGGTGAATCATTTTCCGGTTTTAGTGACTTAGAATCGGAAAATAGTTTTGCTAGTGCCAGTGGAGGAGTGTGTGGTGTTGCCAAGCGACAATTTGTCGCGTCAGCAGCATCTGGCCAAGCCATGCGGCACCGCATGGCACCACATGAACAAAGACCCTCAACATCGAGGAATTTTCCATCACCATCCCTGCCCGCCCCTACTGTTCCTAGACCTGCTTCAGCTCCTGGTACACGGTTTCCTCGCCGTGGTGCCGCTATTGGCTCTAGAAAGACACCCGGTGTTTTTGTGTGGAGTGATGGGACAGATTTTGTTCCACAAATTCCTGTTTTTGATAATTCGGATGTTGGAATTACAGACATTTTCCCTGATAAAGGTGCAGATATGTGTGAAATGGACTATTTTACTGCATATTTTGATGAGCCGCTAATGGAACATCTTGTTCATGAGACGAACAAATATGCGAGTGATCTCATTGATGAGGAGGAGTTATCCGATTTTTCACGTTTGCAGCGATGGAAAGATACGACTGTAGGTGAAATGTATGTGTTTTTGGCACTGTGTATGTTGATGAAACATTGTGTCAAACACGTAATCGATCATTATTGGAGCAAAGACCATACTGTTCCAACACCAATGTTTGGCAAATATATGTCTCGAGACCGATTTGCGATAATCCTCAGGTGTCTTCACTTTGCAAATGATGAAGACCAGAATGATGATGATAGACTTTGGAAGGTAAGGCCCGTCCTGAATGAACTTATCGGAAAGTACAGGGATTTCTACGTACCAGCTCAGAAGCTTGTGATTGACGAATCCCTTGTGCTTTTCAAAGGACGTCTTGCCTTCAAGCAGTATATTCCCTCCAAACGCCACCGATTTGGATTGAAATTCTTTGTACTCTGTGACTGTGAAACAGGAATTGTGTTACATATGATAATGTATACGGGTACAAATGTAGACATTCCTGCTAATGACCAACATGGCTTCTCAGGTAGTGTTGTGAAGTCACTGCTTGCACCATATCTGAACAAGGGCCACATTTTATACACAGATAACTATTATACCAGTCCCTTGCTAACTAGGTTCTTGCTTGATAATAGAACTGGTGTGTGTGGCACAGTGAAGGCGAAACGAAGGGAAATGCCAGTGTTTCCAGGTGCTATGCAGGTTGGTGATTGCGAGCTCAGAAAAACAGGTGGAATGCTTTCAGTGCGGTGGAAAGACAGGCATGAAGTGAACATGTTGACCACCATTCACGCTGGAACAATGCTGGACAGTGGCAAGGTGAACAGAAACATAAGAGAAATAATCTATAAGCCAGATTGTGTCTTGGACTATAACATCAACATGCGTTTGGTGGATAAATGTGATATGATGGTGGGGGCAGTGGAGTGTGTACGGAAAACAGTGAAGTGGACCAAGAAAATGTTTTTCCACCTTGTTGATGTAACAATGGTGAACAGTTACAATATGTATCTTGTCAAAACAGGTGGTAAACGTAATTTCCGTGCATTCAATTTTACTGTAGTAACACAATTACTACAGAAGTTTGGCAAAGTAATTCCTGGTGTACAGAGGCCCATTCTGAACCCGGTATTGCACCATGCTCCAACACCCAGGCTCGCTTTCAGGGATGCCTTTTTGACACACAATCTCAGGTTTTTACCACCAACTGGAAAGCGTGCAGTAGGCCAGCGTGCGTGTGTAGTATGCTGGTCAACAACCAAGAGGGAACAGAAAAGAAAAATGGTGATGACTTGGTGCACAGCGTGTCAGGTCCCTCTGTGCCATG